GGACGAAAGGTCCGAACACCAACTGCTGCCTCTCCGATTTGTTCGAGATCAAAGTTGATTGCGACACCTGGGTTCGCCATCGTAAACAGCCCCAGTCGAAGCCAGCAGATATGAACCTGCAAACCAACTTCTCCTCGAGAGCAAACACCCCCAAAAAGAGGAGGAAAAAGGGAAAAGACCATTTTCCCTATAGAAAAGTGACTATTTTCCTATTTTCCTAATTATTTTAATGAAATTTTCGAAAGTATTCCTGTGTAATTGCGAATGGCTAGTTGATAAGTAATCAGATTTTTTATTTTCTACGTTTTGCTTTGTGTCTGCTGGTGAGCGATATTGTTGTCATCCAGCATGCGTATTTAAACGTTCATAAAATTGCGAGATTAGTTCTCTTTAAATTCATTATAGCAGCTGCTTCTCAATGAATCCAACAAATGAAGAAAAGCCCACAACAAAGAGTGGCTTTCACAAAACTCCATCGGCTTATTTCCATGTACGTCAATCATCATGAAGTACAAACATACTGAGTTGAGATAAGGCATAAGTGCATACCTTTACGAATAGTACTAGGGTTATCGATATTTTTGACTCCTACTGAACAATAGGTATACTCCAAGAGGAACATTAAAGCAAACTAAAGTGGCAGGATAAAAGCTCAGGGTGATTTATGGGTTTGAACAGGCTAACGGTCTTCATAGTCTATAAAAATGTGTCTCTTTTTTGCTCACATCTTCACCCTAAGTACAACCGATATGGTGTAAACTCACCTTGTTGGGGAAACCATAACTTGACGTCCAATGACAATTGTCCCATGACCGCCAGTAGAAAGACTGCTGGATAAACTGGCCTCATGCCGGCGTTCTTCAATTTCACTTGCCGTGGTTTCCGGATCCATGTCTAGTTTAATCCACGGACGACCTTGTGCCACACCAGCGCGCAAAGTGTGCTGCAGACCCAGTTTCAGTTGCTGCATCGACCGAACACTGAGTGTACGTCCAGCAGGACCATTGCTCACGTACCTAATCAGGAGAAAGTCAAATCAAGCATAAATGTGATCAGCTTCATTGAACTTATCGGGTTTATTGTATTGTTGGAGAATCAAAGTGAGCAATTTGAGAAAGAAACAAGCGCTGTATCGTGACAATCCGACGGAACCCGAACCATTCCCCTACCTTGGTGGATTGCTATCTTCTATTCTCGACCTGGAATCAAAACCATCCGTGGATAGAGATCCTGAAAATTATCACTTAATTCCTATTATCATAAGGTTAGACGGTTCACGGTATCACATGAAAATTTGGAATGGATGTGTTTCTATGGTATGAGATTTGTCGAGGAATATTTGAGAGGGAGGAGGCTATCGCTCAGGGTAGTCACCAAAACAATCCGCTGTGCTCCCTTCTCGTCATCGTATAAGGATAAATTCCTGCACAGATCTAATTTATATTACTTATTCGAAAATTTCTACATATTACAACTTTAATCAAGTAAACCACAATGCAAAATGTCAGTTTAAGAAAGACATTACCAGCGAGCGGAGTTAGAATTCGGTTCTGCCTCACTATCGGAGGGAATGAAATCTGACGAGTTCCGGGAGGGAAAAAGTAGAAAATGTTAGCTGCATGCATTTAATGTGAATTGCTCTCGACCATTACCCCTATTCATTGAAGTTTCTTCAAGTGGTCTGAATTGGTTACTGACCCCTACCTTCTGCAGCATAACAGTGATGCATTTATGCATTAATGATAGTTTGAAGGATATAAAAATGCAAGTATTTTTGTCTCACATTGGAGCTGGAAAGCACTTTGTCTAAGTGTTGAGATTTGGGTGTTTAGATTGCCAAACAGTTTCAATTTTGTTTGCTGTTGAATAAGTGTTATCGGTAACCATGCTCTCCAAATTCCAGCCGTCTGAAAGATAGTGTGAGTGAATGAAATTTGTGAAATGGAAACATGGATATTTTACTTTCAGAGTAACTATACACCCAGTACCTGATGTCTATAGTCACTCTCTCAACATGTGGCTAGTCCAACGGGTGGCATAGCGGCAATGGGTTGGAACCGAAACGCGACCTGGAGACAACAACAACAACAACAACAACAACAGTGTGCACTTCCGGCTTGTCTCATTACGGATGAAACAGTTGTCCAGAGCTGTTCTCTGTTGTCTGATACGATACCTTTGTATTTATCAGGAAACACCCCCCCCCCCCCAGGGACACACGAATCAGGTTCGGATTGTTCAAATTTCCGTGTTCTCGGTGCGATTCAAACCTCCACATAAACGTTGCCTACGCGTTTCGTGCTTTGTACAATTCAAAAATATAATACTTCAATCTATCAACCAACGCAATTTGAACATTATCCTATTCGATGGTGGACCGGTGAATTCTAAGGAAAATCTGTCGCGGTGGTCGATTTGCATGCGATCGGATGGATTTCATATGTGTCCGTGTGTTGGTTGATTGATCCGAATGCGACACGGACAATGCTATCGGCATGTCCTCGTAGCTCAGCTAGTAGTGAGTGCGTTACAGAAAATGGTAGACGATGTTCATGAGTGGGTTCCAAATTCCACCGAGGCTATTGCAATTTTACGGGTTCATGCAGCAATTAAACCTACTAAAACAAAACAATTTAAACACAAGTCAAACAACCAGAAAGCATAATGTTCATATAAACTGAAATGTGCTTATCTCACCGCACCATTCAACCGCGTATGCAATTTGAGCTAATTCACCAATATGCATTTGACCTTTCGCCTCTCTCCATCGTTAATTTTCTCTCAGTTTTAGATTGTTAAGAGCTAAGTTCCTGCTATACATGTTTTACGCGCTTTCCATCGTTGACGGTAAACGGTATTCGTGAAAAATCGTACGTCTGTACTATTCCCGTGACTAAAAAAATCAAAATCTGATTTCTTTTTGATCATTCCTATTTTCTCACCCCCGTAACTGGTGACGGACGAGGTTAGCACTCTACCTGAATTCTTACGATTCGGGAAACCGTACCGAAATATACGAAATCAATGCCCAACCAGAACCTAATTCGAAATACAGCTCATAGCATTACAATAGTCAGTGGAATTGTACAGTGACAAAAATATTGAGAGGAAATTTTGACTAACTGAAGTCATGAGTGTGTGTGCTCTATTGAAATAGGGTTAACCGATGGCGAGAGAAATAATATTTTAATGTGTATTCATCTCTCGCTAATATGATTCATCCGATTGAAGACGTATTGAGCACTGAATGTATGTTTTGTTCAAGTATATTTGGTGCCAGTTGTATGTGATGGAATTATTAAGTACGATTTATTGTGGAGATTCATTTTTGCAGGGTCTCACGGGCAATTGGTCATTGGGGCACGTGATCCAACCGAAAGGAATCCTGGAGATAAAGGCCACTGTTGTGGCCCGCATTTGACTCAAGCGTTTACCACGCATGCCTAGAGCTTTATTGACTGATTGACCAATGTTGCCTGCTACCGTATACGCAAGCACGCACGCGCACAAGGATCGTTTCGCCTCAGCCAATCAGACGTCAATATTGAACTGTCCGCATTGTTTAATTTGTTGACCGTTTTACTGTCCTGCTTGGCGGTACTCGGATATCATGTAACATTCGCACCAGCGTTTGACCTGCCTGATTAAGTGTTGACGCCTCTGCTTGCTCACTGGTCTACAGACCGGCTGCATCTGCTGCCAGTGGACGAACTGACTATTTTTATGTCTTATTATCTTCTAATAAAACCGGAAAACAACAGCCACATCAACCCATGCTTTGCACTTTAATACATGATCATTATCCGATTTTTAAGAACATGAATTGACGTTTTGGAATAATCCCTAGGCTTACTTAGTGCTTAAGTGACTAAAACGATCAGCCACAATCAAGCTGAAGAAAATTAAAGAATGCTTTTCTGTTTTTCCCAAGTCATCCCATCACGCATACACATTTTGTGTAGAAACTTTGTCCAGTTCTGAGTCGACGTACGAAATGTCGGTAGTGATCATCATCTATATGGAGCAAAATGATTCGATGACGGAGCTCTTTAAATAGATCTCCCCAAGCACACACATACTTACAGCCTCCTTTGCTCAAACAGAATCACGCCCGTTGTTCGTCTAGTGTTTGACTAAGGATGTATCAACAAAATAACACATTCAGTCAGGAGTAACCAGATCAATTGGTTCGTGCCGGTGGGTGTAATTCAGGCGCGCAGTGTGAAGGGATGCGGGTCTCCAATTGTTCTGACTCATCTGTACTCACTTATGTCACAAATTCGGTTTATTCTAGAATGTTATACCGTTTTTTGTTTTACTTTTTTCTCTTTATGTGCTGCGCTTATGTCACATTCCAGTTACATCGCAACATATCCCCGATTCCCAAAGAAAACAACAACTGTGAACACATGACCAAGCATGCACTTTCTGCAATGTTTTCGGGTACCACCTGAAAATGTTTCTCTGATTCTGGTTTTTCACACTCGTTTTATCATCATAAAAGTGAAGGAGCGATAAAGCGACTGTATTTCAACCCGTTTAATCTGCAACACTGTTCACTGATGTGCATTGCTTGACAACGCGCTAAAGATACCGTGACGCAACTGTGGAACAGATAAACAGTTGAGAACGTTGAGAATTCATTGGGCTTTAGAACAAAACAAGACAATTAGGGATGGGTACATTTTGTCTGATTTGACAGACTTTGGCTATTCTGGTGTTCAGGCAAAATTATACAGTAATGACTAAAACGTTGAGTCAAAACGAAATCACACAGAAGTGCACATTGAATTCCAGAGGCACACTGCTCACCAAAATACCGCACCCACAGGTGGCTCACTGACGAAAGTAAAGCTGATCAGTCATTATTCCTTTCCTAAACACATGCCAACATTTTGAACTTTTAGTGAGATTCTATTCCAGTTAAAAACCATACTGTCATCTAGAATCGCTTGCACAACTACTTAAAGTGATCTACATTTTTACAAAGTGACCACCAGTCAAAATTCAAATAGTTTTGTAAAACGAACAATAACAAGGTGGCCTATCCGACTTTGGGTCACATCACGTGATTCATTAACATACCGTAATTCAATCTGGCCATTTACAATGGCCAAAAAGAACTGTTGCCCGGTCGGATTTTCCACAAGCATTTGTTCTTGTCGACTGGGAGCAAGTTGATAGAACAGCAATGTGCCGTTCAGTGAATTGGCCTGGAACACTAGCTGTACGCTGAACGGTTCTTTCAGTGCGAACGGTGCGCGTACCAACAATGTAGTCTCCGGACTGAATCGCCTTCCGTTCACCCGCAAGACACTATCGGGCTGATTGGTATCCAGCACTGATTGTGAACTGTCATTGTCTAGAGCGGTTTCGTCCACTGTTAGATCTGAACAGGTGGGGAAAAGAGCAGTCACAGGATGTCAGCACGCTAACAGCGTAGAACTCAGCACGGATTTGTACTTCATTTTCACATGATGAAGAAATAGTGATAATTGAATTAGATGAGACATATGAAGCCGTCTGAACAGCTGTAAATGAAAATCCCACAAGATCTACGGATGAACGGATCTGACTGTAAATGAATTACAGTAATTTGTAACAAAATTAGACAATCATTTATACCTATCTGAACATAAACTTCTACCTCCAGGAATGCATGCACAAAGATGTTCGCTACAAGCATATTTAAAGCATTCGACTAGCGGAACTCCTGACGCATACACGAAGCTGTTTGTGATGTAAATGCTTTAATTAGGAACTACACAGTTTCAATAGGAATATTCCCTGGAAAAATATAGATGCACAGGTCTCATTCAAACCCTTGAACTACTGATACGGAAAAACTAAAACACCTATGTTCGGAAGATCCATTTTCGATCGACCGGATACAGCTGTGTGATTGCACTTATTGATCGCATTCCAATATCAATAACTAGGGATTCAGAACACAAATGACATGAAACACAGTCAAGCGTGGGGACCGAATAAGAATCAACTGCTCAGCCGGGTTGTAAAGGTGCAAATGTGTATTTCTGGTTGCATCATAATTCACGTACGCTTTCCGATCACGAGGTTTTCGGTGTGTTAAGCGCTAGCTCATTTTCGATCAATGATCGTGATAATGGATGTTCCTTTGGGGACATTTTTTTCAACAAATCGGATTAGATTGGCAAGTTTCAGATGGATTTGACCTGTGCTTAAGGAAAACAAATTTTCACCCCCCCCCTCCCTCCACCTGCCCTAACGTTTGGCAAATTATGTTATCGAACTGTTCTCTACTGACTGCAAGTTCTGTGGTATCATGCTGCACAAACGGCTAGTGACAAAATATTGAAAATCGGTTCTCGTAGCTCGAGTGAACTGAATTTCATTTAGCCTATTCGCCCCGAGCTGGGCAATTTGGTTGCAAACGTTCTCATCACACCAGCCGAGGTGACATCATCATCAGTGCTTGTGAAGTGGCAGTGTTCT